CAGAGGAGGAAAATAATTGGTACATTTGCATTTTTAGTCGGCTCTAGGATTGAGAATACGTTTTGTGAAGGATTTCAGGTTATGGAATTTATGAACCACAGTTGCAGGATTTGGGTTTGGCCAGTAAACCCTCAGTTCCATTCAGTGACCCAGACTCCACAACACAAGGGATTATGGGGTCATTAAAAGGAGATGATGATGTTAATGATGGATCCCTTCAATGTAACTTTTACAATTCTATTGGGATTATTTTAAACTCAGCAACGTTGGTCCATCCTCATTGTAATCAAGTTAAAGGTAAAGGTAAAGGTTCCCCTCACACAGGGGTGGGATTCTACCAGTTCACACCTATTCACTAGAACTGGTTGTTAACATTCTAAGCAGTTCGGATAATCAGTTGTTAGAAGAAATTACTGGCCTAATCCTGTAAGGAAGGCAGAAAGGAAACATTCTGGGGTTGCTTACAGAAACTGCCTCTCCATTAACCCTTATTACCTTCTTGGCAGGACTAGACTTCCTGTCTCAGGAACTTCTCTGGAGTTTTTTCCCCCTCCTTTGCTGGTTCTTTGCTTGTGTGGAGTGACCATTGAAAAAGTGACTGATGACCATTTTTCACACTTACGACTGTTGCAGCATTCCCACAGTCACGAGAGATCAGGCGAGGAGATGCGTGCCTCGATGAGAGTGATGTTGAATTGGCCATGCCCACCCAGTAACATGACCACCAAGCCATGTCCACCCAGTCACATGACCACCAAGCCACGCCCACCAACTAAGCCATGCCCACAGAACCAGTTGTTAAAAAATTTGAACCCCACCCCTGCCCTCACATATACGTGCTAGTCGTTTCTGCCTCTAGGGGGCAGTGCTCATCTCCGTTAGAAAGCACCAATGCTGTCCGAAGACGTCTCCGTGGTCATGTGACCGGCATGACTAAACACCAAAGGCGCACGGAGCGCTACTTGCATTTTTTACGTGCTTTTGAACTGCTAGGTTGGCAGAAGCTGGGACAAGTTACGTGGTGCTAGGGATTCGAACAGCCAACCTTTCTTACTGACAATCTCAGTGTCTTAGCCACTGAGCCACCGTGTCCCTCTAACCAAGTTAGAGGTCAATAAATACCTGAATATTTTCTGGTTGTATTCCTCACTACTACCATCAAACATGCAAAATGGGACGTTAAAACATCATAGAGTTTCTAAAAATCCACATGAGCCTGTATTTCATCAGTCGCAAAAGAAATAAGTAAACACGGATCTATAATGGTGTATTGAAGACACCGTACACTTGTTCCTCATTGAACCTGATAAAAGAAGATAAGAATCACTGGTTGCAGTATGAGGTATATTCTTATCAAGGGCTATCAAGTGTCAATCGTAGGAAAGGTTTCAAACCAGGAGACAATATAAATTCTTGTATGCTGGCTGCCAAGTGTTACCCGATTCCACAATCAATTATACTGAGTGCCCTTGTATGGTTTTGGTAGGTTAGTTTCAATCATTATTAATGTGCTGGAAAAAAGACACACACACACCCTGATCCCCATAACCTTTGATGACATGAGCGTTGTAAACTCTCATCATGAATTATACAGGGAAATTGAAAGAAAAGGCACTTCTTTTTTTAAAAAAAATAAGCCTGTTCAACAGCTGCTTTTTAAAAATCTCCTACTACAAGTATCTCACGCTCCAATTAAAGGAAACATATTTACTATTTATTCCTTCAAAAGGCAGATAAATCATCCCCCAGTACAGAACTTCCCAAAGTGGCACAGAAGACAAAGAGAGCCATAAAGACACACTCAAATTTCCTTTTTTGGAAAGTTGCATCCTGCCCTTCTTTTAGAGAGGTTAGAAATTGGCTCTCTTCACTGTAACTCATGAAGCCCGTGAAAAACGGGTGAGACTGGATAGATGGACAGAGATCCTTCCATTCATAAAAATGCTCCTTCAAAGGTACAGCTACAAGTACAGCTGGTATAGCAACTGCCTCATTTAGTGATTGTGTGCAGTTACAATGGTGAGGAAAAAGTAACTTTATGGCATGTGCGCAGGTCTGCAAATCAAAGGAGAGCTTAAGTAAAATCATAAGCACATAGCAACAGTTTTGCTGCTGCCAGTTGTGATTGTTAAACAAAGACAACCTGTGACAAGTCCACACCATCTGTATTCAGTTTGATTATGTTCATCTGTATGTTAACACACTGAATGTATTTTTGAGTCCAAGGAATGAGGCTCCAGACATCAAGAACACCAGGCATGAGAGCCAAGGACACTTCAGCAGGTGTTTGCCAATCCTGAGGACTTTTTCGCATAACAATACAATGACACTCAATTGGACAATGTGACCTGCGCTAACTATAACCGTCTGGTTTGGTTCTGCAACCCAACAGGATAGACACAGACTTCAGAGGGTAATTAGGACTGCAGAAAAAACAATTACTACCAACCTGCCTTCCATGGAGGACCTGTATACTGCACGAGTCAAAAAGAGGGCTGTGAAAATATCTACAGACCCCTCACATCCCGGACATAAACTGTTTCAACTCCTTTCCTCAAAACGACGCTATAGAGCACCGCACACTAGAACAACTAGACACAAGGACAGTTTTTTTCCTGAACGCCATCACTCTGCTAAACAAATAATTCCCTCAACAGTGTCCAACTATTTACAAAGTACCTTATGATTCTTGACTCTTGACAAATGTATCTTTTATTTTATGTACACTGAGAACATTTGCACCAAGACAAATTCATTGTGTGTCTGATCACACTTGGCCAATAAAGAATTCTATTCTATTCTATTCTATTCTATTCTATTCTATTCTATTCTAT